TAAATAGTTGTGTGTACGTATGCACCTTCTTATGCCATACTTTTATCTGTTGTACGTCATGGAATATTGCTGGACATGAAAATTATTAACTGTCCGTGCGATGATAGTTATGGTGCCTTTTTGAGTTACTCTTCCTTCATTCCTATTCAATTGTGACTTTATGTCGCACTGTTAGTCTGCGTTAGATACGCATGCACGGCTTTGCTTCCTGCAATATACTAACGAGATGCGGTAGAATACACTTATAGTTTCCGTTTTATGTATAGTGAATGTGCTATAAGCGTTGCGTTGATCATAAGTTTACCGCGCCTTGAACTGATAGTTGAGACGAGATATCTAATGGTAGAAATACACTGGTGATACTATATGCTTCCTTATATATTTGTACGTTATATTTGATGAGTTAGATTGATTGTCTAAACTCATGCCGTGACATGTTACATATTTACAGCGAAGCAACCAGCGCGGAACAATCAATATGGGAGATAACAGTGCTGCAGATGCCGTTATCACACGCGCCGAGGAAAGGAAGCTTAAAGCAGTGAACGATCAGGTCCACAATAGATATGTGAAGATTCTCCGTAAAGAAGTAACCGAATGTTACCGAGTAAGTGAAATTCAGTTCAGCGTGTTGGAATTTGCACGCATCGTATGTCGACCATGTTCCATGCATGTTACGCAAAAGTGGGAAAGCGAATTTAATGCAGATTGCTTGCTTACAAATAGTTGATTCCATAGTAAGCTATATATCACCTTTAAGACCTAGTTTGTTTCACAACTGTTTTTGATCATTATCATTGTTACAAACAGGTTTTCTGTCATCTCTGGTATATGCCAATAGAGGACGTATATTTGAAAATTACACTTACACCCAGCAGCATCTAAACGCAAACTATTTTAGATCCGGCTTTTTTGTTCTTGAGGGCGTCTCGCTTGTGGAAATATGGCCATGTAGAAAATATGTACAACACTAGTACCCGATTCCTGCATATCTCTACATTTAGTCCTCATTATTTTCCATCTAATATATATACAGCGTGAGGGTGTAAATCACGAGGAGAAGTGTAAGGACCTCGTGGAGGCCTATTGGCAAGCATACAAAGGCAGACAACCGAAAGGGCCTCCCGAGGACAAGTGAGCGCATATCGCCGTTCTCGTCACGCATAGCTGTGCTCGCCCTGGCGGGTATCAGGATTTAAAATTAAAATGGTGATGCAACCTCGAGCATTAACATTAATTCACGTGTGTGAAGTTGCAGCATGCTCGTCTTGAGAGGGGTTTTTTTTGCGCATATGTGCAGACTGTTCTAGTGGACAGCTCTTCTGGCAGCGAGCACTAGATCTTATTCATTTGTGTTGTGTGGTATAGAATATTTATACCTCTGCATGTACAGGTGAAATGAAGCGCTTCGTTTGCGCCTTTTTGCAGACTGTTCTAGTAGACGGCTCCTCTGGCAGCGAGCACTAGACCTTCCTCATTTGTGTTGTGTGGTATAGAATATTTATGCTTCCGCATATGCAGGTGAAATGATGTCGACAAGCTGTGGAAGAGCATTGTGTTAAATAATTGCTGAACTTAGCTTGCTCTGTGATATATTCTTACGTAAAATGCTTAATCCAAAACAACCCGTAAAAAAAGATGAACACTGCACAGTTAGATACTGTTTGTAGGGTTAATTCGATTTGCAATTTATTATTGAAGGCATCACGTTACTGCCCTCACCTCGAAGTCTGAGAAGTACACAGAGTGGTCTTCCGTGTATCCTGTGTTTTTACGATACAATCCCCATTTTGGCCTCACGAAATCATAGACACCCTGTAGTTGATTATCAGGTTGGCAATTGCGACAATCAATGCGAGCTAATAGTGTTACAAAACTGTGATTTTACGACAAACTGTCGTGAAAAAAGTGCGAGAAACAATTCCCTCTTAATCTGCGGACATGCTGATCGAAACTACAAAGTTAATAGTAGCGATAGATAGGGTTATTATCAGCATTGCGATTTCACCACGTGTGTCCACAACATATTCTCGGCTGACGATACAGTGAATAAATGAGGGGATTACATGCATATGGAACGTACACTTTCATATACATATGTATTGCCCAATACTCACCGATTGGTTCCAAGTAGTGATGTTGACGAATTCGTGCCTGCACAAAACGGAATCCTGCAAATCACGTATCTCGACGTCAATCTTTCCCTCCGTATCATGGTAGTATACGGTCACCGAAATGTGTCTCCATTTATCCCACATATCTTCCAGCTTCCATAAATCCACATCTCTGAACAATTTCCTGTTTGATTCCAGCCGGAAAGTGCTCTTCCTTATTCCGAATGTCATAAGGGGCCCTCCATCCACCCCCTCTCCCACGGCTGTAGTCCAGAATTCAAGTGTCTCCCATTAAAACACATCTCAGTCGACAAAGGAATGTTCGGAATGGTTGGCCTTTGCGGGCATGTGGGAGCGCGTGCATGTAGCACGAGGTGCTAGAAAAAGTATACCTTTGATCTGGAAACAGTGGTAGAAACTATCACTTCCTCTCACACCCGCGCCTATTTTGAACCACCACGAGTATCTGACAGTGTCACAGAATGTTGCCTTGAGGGGACCCTTTTCAGATCCTTTGTATCCTTTGATCTCTGTTCTCTGCCTCTCGCACGTCCCGATTTTGTTCCCGTCCCTGTACGAAGCGTCAAAAAGCTGTGTGAATTATAATCTTTGTACTTCAAAAAGTACTGAACATGCGGTTCCATCTTGATAATAGAAACGCACATATG